TTGATCATCTTGGCAATTCTTTTAGAGATGTTTATGATCTTAGAATGACAAGATTGAGTTCTAGACACACATAAATGCAAGAATCAAAGATTTTTAAAAACCTACTCTATTTCATGTGGAAAGTGAAATCAAACTGAAGTGGATGTTTTGAATTAAATCATCAATGATGTGAGACTTTTGAAGTATAATCACTTAAATAATATTTTATTGTTATGAATTTATGATTCAATTATCATTTGTTTGAAATGAATTTTAAATTTTTGCAAAATGATTTATACGTTTACTTATTATATTTTAATATAATTTTTATACTGTGTTTATTCTAAATCATATAATTGCTGAAAAATTTAAATAAAAAATGTGTTAAAACCTTTAAATTATCTATAAATATCATAAATAAAAATATTTTTAATTTTATTTATGGTGTTATAATGTATACAAATCATGCATGATTTAGTCAAAATTTTATATTGTTTCTTTTCTATTTCATGTATTATATTAAAAATAATTTGTAAGCATACTTTTTATAAAATAAAAATAAGCTAACATTGACATAAAATCAATGATATTTATGAGTTAATGTTACATATATCATATATAAAATATGATCAATACATTTTATTATTATTTCAATATATTATAGTATAATCAAGATATTATTTTTAACTTCTATTTAAAATAAAATTAAGTATTGCTTTATAAAAAGACGTTATAAATGATACAATTTTGTTTCATGAACATGTCAAATGAATTTTTTATCCAATATTTCATCATTCGAAATTCAAGTTTTAATTTTTTTTCACATCAATTTTTATGAAGTTGTCCAAATTGGTATGATTTTTGATATTTTTTTATTTCAGATCTACTCAAAAATAAAAAATATTGTCATCCTTCATTTGTAACTTTCGATACTAAAGCAAGTCAATGAATATACCAAATATATCTTCTTGTTTGAAGGTTTTGAGCAACAGTTTTATTGCAAAAAGTTGTCAAAAAAATTATATAAAAGATTTTTGGACTAAGATCTAAGATCACATCAATGCATATGGAGATTTTGTCATTGAACTTCAAAATTTTGAAAAAAAGATTAATGATGAAAATAAAACTATCCATCTTTTAAATGCATTGTCTAGCTTCTCTCAATTGTTGTCTCATTACTTGCTTCATTGTGACAAACAAACAATCAACTTGCAACAAAGTAATAAGTGCTATCTTAAATACTGACAAACAGTAGAAGATGATGATCTAATCTACTTCATTCTCTTCTTTTCGTGAAACATTCAATGTGACTCAAGATTCATAATATTCTCAGAATGACAAAGATGACAAGCGTTTTGGATTCAAGTATAAATCCATACTTTAGGGATAAAAATCTATGAAGGAAGAAGGTGGAGTGTTGGTATTATGGCAAGACTGAGCACGTCAAGAAGTACTTTCATGTGAATACCAAAGGCGCTTATACTTTGTTAGCCAATGTGATTCAAGAGTTTGAAATCAAGTTCAAGAGTTTGACCTCAAGGAGTATGACTTGCTCAATAGTGGATTATGATGTCATAGATATGCTCTATGTAATTGATCAAAGGTTGTTGATGACGTATAATATTTTGATAATGTTTTGTTTATCACATTTATCATGTTAGAAATTTTTTATGACCTCAATGTCATGCGTATCACAATTTTTTGTCAAATGATTATCTGAAATCATGGCTTATTTTGATTAAATTGATGCTTTTGTGCCAATTCGTGAGATGTTTACACAGTCTTGATGGATTTTTATTGTAGTCGTAAGTGAAATTTCAAGCCATGTTTATGAATGTGTCAAAGGTTTGCAAAAACAAAGAATCACATTGCATTTGCAAAAGTCAGATTTCTAAGCTATGTTGACTAGCTTACAGCGTTTTGCATTCATAGAGCATGTTTTTTACAAGCTTAACTCAATCCCAACGGACAACATCGTTACTTTTGAATGATGACATGTCTGTCATGTCAATTTGATTTAATTAATTCAAGATCAAGATATCTTTTCAACCCAATCATTGGCAAAACTGCACTCACATTCAAGTTTTGAAGTTTGCATACGGTTGACATTTTTCTTTTTGGAATTAGTTTGCAATTTGAGCGCAATCTTGTTATTGATCATGCAAGGTTGAACTAAGACTGGGTAGCTTGGCTACAATCAAGCAAGGAGATAGGCGGACGCAAAACACAAGAAGTCAAAACAAGACTGAATGAGAATGCTAAGATTTTATTGATCCATCAATACTGTTCATTTGTTGAATGACCAAAACAAAATTTTTTGTTACTTTTATAGCTTGAAGTTGTCATGAATTGATCTAACCTAGATGAGTTATGCCAAGGCCGCCAAGACTGATGATATTGAATCTATTAAAATTCAAACGTTTGATATATTCAAACATACATTAATTCAAATGAGGTGTTATCATCTTTAGTTAGTTAAAATTAAAGTAAATGTTACTCAAGATTGAATAAAATAGATGATAGTGTAATATCTATAATTTTATGTCAGAAAGTCGTGTGCTAGTTAGTGGATTAGTTGGAAGCAACACGTCATCAATCCGTGTGTTTGTTAAATAAAGATCAAATGTGATAATTAGTGTATTGGTTGGAAACGACACGTCAATCATTAGTGTACTTACTAGATATATCCAACATGTCATCACTCCACTATGAGGGAATTTGTTTGTGGAAAGAACATTCTAATTTATTGTATGCGTTTGAAATATCTATATAAGGAAAAGGAAAATTATTCAATGTATCTTATCCTCAGAGTTTATTTTTCATTTTCAAGTGAATTTATCTCTATATCCTAGTGTTACTTTAGGTTATGTATAAAAAAGAATTTGATTTTTTTTTGGAATGTTAGATTCAAAAGATCTTGAGTGGAGCTCTAAGGAATAAAAATGCTTGAGGTAAAAATTTACGATAAGATTATGTTTAGTGATAATCACAACAATCTAAATCTGCTAGATGTCACTACCATATATGATTAAGTCAACTTTAATAAATTTTGAACTGAGATGTCTCATGGATGACATTATAGACTGTGACACATAAGTAATAAGTAAACATTTCTCCTAGATGAAAAGAAATTGTTGTATAAGTTTTGCAGTTTGAAGTAACAAACGTAAGTTTATATTATGACTTCAAACAAGTTATATTATATATAATATAAAACTTGTAAGTTTTTGAAGTTTTGCAAATGTTGTGTTATGATAAGCATTTGATGTTCAAACTCATATTTTCAAGGAGTTATTTGAATATGTTCATAGTGACATGTGGAAAGTCTATTTGAAAGATTCATTTTTTAGAAGATTTACTATATATCATTCATTGACGATTATTGAAGATTTTTGTGGGTATTTTCATACACAATTGTAAGGTGTTAAATTCAAATTGAGATATTTAAGTACAAAAAATGACAAAATATATACTTCTTAGTAATTTTGGAATTATTACAAAAAGTAGAGTATTCTTTGTCATCTCGCCAAAGTTTATATTTTGCAATAGAAGGTTGTTTTTTAAGCAATTCAATCAAATAATGTTGGAGTACTTCAGTATGTTAAATTCATCTGGTTGATCATATGAATTTTTTGCTTAATTTATTAATGTTACAATGTATTTGATAATTTTTTTCTATTTTTATTCAATTAGTTATCAGTTTTTTGATAACTAATTTCAATTAAATAACAAACAAATGATTAATTATAATTATTTGAAAATCTTTGATTATATAGTTTATTTTCTCACATCGAAAATAATATGACGAAATTGAATACTACATCCAATAAAACATTATTTACTTGTATATATTATAAAAAGATTATAAACTATATAATCTAGAATAATTTAAAATTATTTTTAATAAAATTATTTATTTCAATAAATTTAGATTGTGAAAGAATTTTCAAACAAAAATAATTCTACATTTGCCAATGTTGTTGAAAGAAAAATTGATCATTATATAATCAATGATATAATATGAATAAAATGAAACAAATTTCAGATGCATAAATTTCCAAAGATAATAAATTTGAGTGATAAGTTTTTATTTACGAGCCTCAAGCATTTACTCTAAATGATGGAAATCAATAAAAAAGTTCAACTAGAATATCAGGACTTTTAGATCAATCATTCATTCTTGAAGATTGAGATATTAATAAAGAGATGATGATCATTTGCATTGAAAAACGGTGTCATTAGTCCATTCATTAGTCCATGTACATGAGCTGAGGTTATCACCTCTGGGTATCAACGACAAGGTGCGCCGCTCTCTGGTATCTTGGTTCCCTTTGCATACAGTGTTTAAGTGGTCATGTAGATGAAACAACTTGCATATGTAGTGCACTAGTCTAGTGAGCCTGTAGCGCTGTGCACTGCTCAAAAACGTAGTATGAACTTTGCCGTCATATGAAGATCTGTAATTTACTCGATGTACTTTCGAAGCGCATCGAGGCATATGTTTTCATATAGCGAGGCATATGTTTTCATATACGTAGAAATTTCAACTTTGACATTCCCCGTATATCTTAACATAGGACGCAATGGAAATCACACCATCAGATATACTATTAAATAGATGGACACGACATAAGTAGGTACCTTCCATCTCCCACAAAAATCTAAATATTGCCGATTTATACACTGTATATGGGCCGTCAACAATAGAATAATGAACAACTGCAAACATCCGATAGGCGTTCAAGTGGTCTACTTCGTGGCCACCAGACCTTCATTTCAGCCCTCAAATGACGGGGGAAAGTCCTTGAATTACATCTTTCTAACCAGGAGGAAAGACTCTTGGTTGTGCTTTCTCTGCACAATGCTACAACCTGATAGACGGGGCCAAACTCATACGTGACAACAAACCTTACAGACATTACTTGGACAAAGGCTGGACACAATTATTATATGGAAGAGTACATATTCGATACCCTCAAGATCTGTGTGAAGAACGACGACGTGTAACTGAATGAACGTGACAGTTGCGCGATTAGCGGATGTATTAAATGCACAATTCCAGACCTTCAGGCAAGTAGATTCAAGAAGTAGCATTGCAACAACATATGAATTCGGATGAACACATACTGACTAGTTCAAGTGACTTAAGTCACAAAAATAAGTTAGTGAACACCCTAAACTACACTAAATCCCATCAGTGAAACCTGATGTAGACATAAGAAATAACCATGTAAGTCTGCCCTCCCAGTATCTACGTGGCGGTAGGTACTAAGAAAATTATACACGGCCCTTACAGAAAGCTAGTTCACCACACCTGCTTGTACCTGGACTGCCCAAATATCGCTCGGTGAACTATCCATGTGGAAGGCATGAAGTCAGCTCTGTAGTACCCAGCGGCTCCAGATTGTGTTTATGATGTAAAATTAGAACCCTAGGCCATGGTTAAAATACATGTGCATCCTTTACAAAGTTCCCGCCCCTAGTTGTGCATTATTATAGCTACCCTTGCAGCTACACATACGGTGTAAAAGACATGACTTGAGGTGGAACACAAGCTTGTACAAAGAGAAACGTCCAAGGGTGAGCTGAGCTCACGAAGAATGCTTGTACCTACTCTAAATGTACTTTTTTCATTCTAAACCTACCAAGTAATCCTGGATTAGATGTATCAGCAACGAATCTCGTAAGATCCTGCTCTGGTGATATAACGTACCCACTCAACTGTACTGTATCCGCTCTTCTCCCAAACCTGCTTCACAATCATCATTGTTAGAAAGAGCACCTATTTGACGACGCAGTGACAAACAAGTAATGGAACCCAGCCAACCGACCCAAGTCGAGAAACAACTTTCAATGTACTAGATGCTTTACCTTCAAAAACCTCACTCTTAGACCAGAAGCTGTGAACATTGGAACCTGCATTTGCGAAGTAAAGCCGCGAGCAAATTATTAGTCTGAAATAGGTTCGCTGATCACCAAAATACGAAGAGTAGTTATACAACTCACGAAATCTGACAATTTTCTAAACGGCTCATTTGTCAACGAACACAATTTGGCCCATGCTAAATGCCTGTCACCAAAGAAATGAATTTCTAAAAGCGAAAAGTTCAGAACTTATGATTCTAAAGAACCAACTCCAGAGATAAAATGACATGAAAACATTCAAAAAATATCCTGTCATCACAAGTTTTAGGAGCCTGGTCTCAAAACAGTTTGAGACCAGGCTCCAGGTACAAAATTCCAGGTACAGACCTGGAATTCCATCTGAATTGGAGGCCGGGTCCATGATTTCTTTTCCACCATTGTTGAAATAAGCTCAACCTCGGCACTCATTGTCAGCTCAGTCTGTCCTCCTGGGAATTTCCTCACCCTGGGTAACAAACAAGACATAAACCACACTTACATTATATCTGAGGCTGATTTAATAAATTTAGTCAAACGTAGGAGGATGATTTGCAGTGAAATCCAGACATGCCCACAAGTCCGCGGTACGGAATCTCAAAGAAAACTGCTTCCAACTGCATAAAACTGCAATATAGACGAAGTAACTTACTTCCAAACAAGGCAGTCCAACGCAGCGTTATATTTTGCACGACCAGCGGTAACTTGGAAGTTCGCTTTCGCAGTGTGTTTCGGCACTGGGACCTTAACAACTACCCCTAAGGCAAACATCTTGGCACCGAACAAACTTTTCACCTGAGAGGAAGAGGGATACTGACGTCTCAGTAAATATGCGTGGCAGAGCAGTTCGAGTGTTCAATATAAACTTCACTTGCAGCTTTCATTAGCTCGCAACATACTAGACGATCCAAGGAAGTTAGAATCGAAAAAGAAGATCTAATGCTCAGAAAAGTTCAAAGAAGTTATGGTCTGGATACAAATCACAAACTCATGCTCCAAACTATGCTCATGCTCACAAACCAATTGAGTGCACACCTTCACATTAACTTCCATGCGAGTACGACCAAGTTCCTTGATACTAGGAAGAACGCGAAATGGAAGATTGATTCCCTCAGTTATACGATATCTGAAAAGTCCAAAAGAGAAGTTATTAAAACCAAGACTGTCCATGGAAGCCTGAACAAACAACAGCAGGGATTTAAAAGTTTCCGCAGTCATTGTTTATATTTGGTTGCCATCAGGAGCTCTTGTTTAATAGGATAAGAAACAAGCAAGTATACAAGTTCTCCAGTTTGAACAACAGCTTACTTCATTAGTTCGAACTCTCCATCGGGAGGAACAAAGCTGACGGTCTTCTCTGTGTTGAACCGAGTGAGATTCACACACTGATGAAATGTGACATCATCCAGTTCAATTGTCTTGCCACTGCCAAAAAAACACGCAAATTCGGCAAGCAAAATTATCACTAACCTTAATTTAATTCAGACCATAGTGTCTAGAACCTTAAAAACGGTAGACTATTGTCACTTGACCCTCCAGACTAAGGATGGAACAATCAGTATGCTAAAAATTCTTCCTGGTGAAACTTTCTTCTTTTTTTGTCCAAACAGAAGTCAAACTTTGACTGCATCAAGATAATCCCCTTCCATCTCTGACACTGCTGACAAGAAAGTAAGTATCTGAACTTTATTAAATGCACTACCAGTACGAAAACCAGACACTGCCCACCAGGTTTTGAATTTTGATTTTGTAGTCAGAAATAATAGAACCTAATAGAACCAAGTGCGTTCCACCTTAAACAACCAGCGCAAGAATATCTATTGTGAGCTGTTGTACGAGGAACCACACCTTCTTGAAGGTCGAGCCTTCGCCTGTGCCTCTTTCTCCAGCCCAATTTTATCATTGAGACCCAGCTTCAAGTCAGGCATTCCCGATAAAAAACACTTCATGAGAATCTTCCCAGTAACGTCGCAACGCAATGTATTACCTGCACATTGTGGGTCCGATGTAGAACGAACGATATGCTCCAGTACTCTTCAGGGTTTTACACAAATAATGTTCTAAAAACTGCTGTGACTGACAAACTGAAGAGCGACACTGACGGTATAAAATGCGTAACGGTGGACATACATAGACGCACACACAGCTCTCTCAGATAAAACCCATTAACCATATTGAAAGAATTTAACGCATCGTTAGACACCAACAGAAAGACATCTCCCATATATGACTTTACAAAAAAGATCAATCCAATTCGAGGTATGATACATTTCACATAGAGATGGTAGAACCTATACAGATGAATGCATTATCTAAACAAATCTTCGAAGAAAAGACCGATCAGTCATACCTTTTTGAGACATAAGAAGATTCACGCTTTCGACAATGTCCAAAAAGACCTGAAATAGAATATCAAGTTAAAGTAGTTAACTTCCCTGGCATAAAATAGGCCTATGATGTTGACGTCTCCACATGTAAAATCTTACAAGACAAAAAAACACAGCAAGCACGAGCAAGCACTGGACCTCATTCTTCTTGTATACAAGACCCTCTCGCCGCCATCCAACAGCTCCAGTAACTTGTAAAGTGGCATTTGCTGGTGGTCTCATGTCCTGAGGCTGGAAGAACAGAGACGTATGATAATGGATTTGTCAGATTCGTTGCAACCTTCGCACGACTGTATGAGGGTTGATAATGTGTACCGAGAAAAAACTAAAGTAATTGCTAAGACCGAAAACAGGAAGATGTGATAAGCATTTGTGTGAGACACAACTGACTCAAGAAGAGCAAGCTAATTTGAGCTGTAACGCAAGAGGGGGCAAATGAAGAGAGTTAGATGTACATAAAACATGATCTTCCAAATACACCTGAAATCTTGTAGTATTTTCAGAGGCTGCAATCCAGGATTGAAGCCTTCGACAACATTCCGAGAAAAGCCCACCAGCGTATGACGTTACCAATCACACAAAATCTGCTTAAAGATTCTTCGTTAACATTCTTGTCAACTATTTGGGTCCAACGTTGTTTAAACTAGAAATGGTAAATAATGTCAAGTCTTTGACATACCTTCGTGGAAAACGGAGAACGGACTCCTTCTTGTGTAATATAAAGCTTAAGAATTTCCGGTGATAGATTTTGAGGATAGCCAAAGTCCATAATCTCTGCAAATCATGGAATTCAAGAGTTGAAGACAATACGAACGTATACGGTCCTAGTGCGCTAAAGCCGATAAGGCTTCAGCAAATACACACATATATAAATGTATATCAAGTAATGTAGCAATTGTATCATTGTCCAAAGATAATTACTTCCAAGTAGAGAAGGTAGACATTTTTTTCTTTTCTGGACAATATATTGTGAGATGCTAATTACAAAGCCTTCTATGAATTTTCTCATTTACAAAGTACTTCAAATGGGCATCTCAATCAAAGATGAGGTCACGTACCATCCAAAAGCTCATAAATAAGCACAAAGTTATTTCGAATGGCATCTTCATCAAATGCGCCCCCAAAGTATGACTTGAAAAGCGCAACTGCCTGTGGCAACAAGGTACAAAAACATTCAATCAAATATGTGGCAGACACAAAGAAAGACGAACCTATGCAACGAACCAGCACATCGCAAATATGCTGACATCAATTTTAATGACCTACAAATCGTAAGAAAATCAGTGACTCGAAAATTTGAGGCAGAATTCATTCGAAGTTACAGTAAAGTTCATGGGTGGATGCGGTAAGGATGTAACATGCTTGGAAAAGCCTATTATAAAGGTTGAATTGAAAAACCGTCAACACCGGTACCACAACGCTCTCGTTTGAAAATGCTAGAAGCTTCCGTTTGTGATCATGGTCTAAAGTACATATTAGAAAATGCACTTTCACCTCACTCACAGCTTATCTCACTCACTGTGCTGAGAGTTCGATATTAACTAGGGAAGTAAACTGTTCGAGGTCCTGTTGAATTTAGAAGATATGGAGCAGAATTAAATACAACGACATACTAACAAAGGAGATCTTAAACGTAAGGAGGTTGCGAGATCATACGAACAAGTACACTATATAGTCGTGGTTGGAGTGAAGAGGAAACCTTCCGCTTACCTCAACGACAAACTTGAATGCACAAGCTGCATTCGCATTACTGCTGACCACAGTGACAATATATACATTGCTGATGCGCATGTACAGAAAAGAACATCCACCTATCTGCCGAACCGGACAGGTACCAAGGTCCTTTGTCTGCATGATATGTGTTCGGAAAGCATCAACCATGTTCCCCCTGCATCGACCCAGGGCAGCACAAACTTGTTATCCTTGACTTCCAACTAGCATAAATGTCTAACATACAACTGACGATGTCTCTAGGTATCATTAGCACTTCCTTCGATGAGAACACTCTAAAACGGGTGTATGGTACTCAGGCCATGGTGAGCACATACTGATGAGTACAATTTATTCAAGGCAGAGGCCTCTAATAAAGTGTAATGATACGCAGTTCTTCAGTATGACTCTTCTAATATTTAGACCAAAAGAAATAGGAACAGCCTTCGGGTTGACAAGGCGTGAGTTGTTCTTCCTCAAAGAGCTTCCATATGATTGAGTTCAATATGCATCCAGTACATATTTTTTATTGAGATATCGGAAAAGGTATGTGTCCGTCCACTGTAGGGGACAAAATCCAACTGAAAGCACACGCTATGAATCCATTTCATTATGATCACGAATAATGAATTTCGTTACGAATCATAAAACCTATTCCAGGATCGCATATCCTGGAAGAGATATTACGAGTGAATACCGGTATGGATGTCCGGGATGGAACATAGTTCCAAAATTACTCGTAGATGATCTGATAATCAGCTACATAGGCATCACTTTCATGGTCCAAACCTTTACCAAGCCTGAGCTACAAATATTGTTTAGAGACTTTCCATTGCACTGCACCCACTGTTCTTACCGGCATCAAAAACTGCCACAAGACAACCCTGGAGCAATATGGACTACGACATTATACCAAAAAGTAACTCTCCGATAATTAAGTTCCAGGAGAGCTCAACACTGTTGAGGAGCATTTTAAGAGTTTAAAATGATAGTGGATGATGAGAACACCGTGGTAGAATGCCAGAACCGTTTGTAGTCAAAGGAAAAGTGGCAGCGTTTAGCTGCTGACACAAGTCTTGAGTGCAATTAGAAATCCGACCCACTAAAACTATAGGTAAATTGTAAGATATAAATGCTGAAGAGCCGTAGGAATTGAGAACGGAAGCAAGTTGGGACACTTCGATAGCAGTATGACTTTCGAAACTTTCTACCATCTGCAGGAACGTGAGGAGCGACCTACTTGCAAGGGAATGACCATTCTCAGCGAAAGGGGGGGACACTCGGACAAAACACCTAATTTCCAGAATTGAGAGGTCTTGCTCAGCTCGAGGCCTCGGAGATAAGGTAAAGAGAGAAGTCTCAGGTGAAAAAAATCCGCACTAGATCACAGCTTCTAGATCGATCTGTTCCTCTTCAGAGTTACAGCAGACAGTTCAGCAGTAGACTGTTGGAGACACAAACACAAAGAGAGAACGGCATTTCCAGCATAGCCACGACCAGAAACTTACCCGACATCATCTCGATACAGCCGATTGATGAGGACATCTCCTCTGAGATTCAAGAAGTAGATTGCCGAAGCTGCCACCGGCATTTTGCCGACTCCAAACGAGCGACTTCGTCAGCAACTTGGCCTACTCACGCATCCTCTCCCTAACTCCAAACGCGTCCCCAAACAACAACAACTACAACAACAACAACTCCAACTCACACCACTCTTCCTCCCGGCGCTCGTCCTCGTCAGACTCCCAACACGCAGATCGATCGCCTGATCAATCTTGGGAGTCCCTCCGGTTCGAAGCTTCGTCCGACCCTGCCTGTTCCGCTCTGCTCTGCCTCTGCTCTGCACGTCCCGATGGCCTCTCTCGAGCTCCTCTCCTCTCCAGCGCACCTCCCTTCTCTCGAGCCTCGCCTCGTCTCGTCCCGTCGCGTTCCCTTGAGCTTCGACCTCTTCCTCCCTCGACACGGCTCCGCAGGAAGAAGTCGTTCCCCGACCCTGCAGGCGCTGTCGCCTTCGTCCTGCCCGTCGCCCCGCGCCCACAGTCCGTCTGGCGTTCTTGCAATCCGCAAGGGAATTTTCCACCGGGCCAACTAACCGTGGTTAGATGGTGGATCCACGGCAGCAGCGGGTCAAATTCCGCATGACTTTATTCTCGAGTTTCCAGAAGTTCATATCGCTGCCTCTTTAATGCATGACCGGATCCTACTCAAGCCAACGAGACAAGACCGTGACCGGCACCGGGACCGGGGCTGCGGCCACCGGGAGGGCTTTGTTTCTTGCCCAGATTCTTAACATCGCTCCTTTCGGTCCGGCCGAGCCAGTTTGGCACATCACACCGTCATCACAATAATTTTCCTCCATCGAGCCATTAGATTCTCATTTCTCTCGTAGAGTAAACTCATGTGGAGTAGACAAATTTAGGAATAAATAAATTGGGGCCTTTCTTGAAGCGAACATTTTTTTTGAGGCAGAGAGTGTAATTTGGTGTTGAGAAAGCTGGTATGATAATGGCGAGATTTCAGCAGATAAGTATCTATAACAAGATAAGGAACGACATGCTAAGTAGTTTTTGGGCCTCTTTTCCTCACGTGCATGAAGGAAGTCTGTTTAGCTCGCTTGGTTATTATTGATGGTGTGCTCTGTTAACGTCACCCTGAAGTTTATTTTGTTGTGTGTTCTGAAGTTTTTCGGAAATATGATTCTGGTTCACAATGACCTCTTGCCTATGTTGGTACACCTTGACTGTTTCCATGTATTCTTCAGAGTATATAATGTTTACTGTTCAAGAATATGGATAATTGTTCTCTAGTCAAGTTCTGGAATCCAAGCTATTTGTGTCTATGTAGCTTAGAATCTTAGTAACTTAAAGTTGGCATAGATTCTTGGTGAGAGTCTTGTAGATCTTACAAAACTATATTTGAAAATGCTCCTTGGTTGTGTAGGTGAGAAGAAACAATAATATTGTCAGAAAAGGAAGGGATAAAGCATCGCATAATCAATAACGCATTCAATGACAATTCATTATTAATTATCAATGAAAATGAATGAAATTTATTCAATCCATGATGGGGCGGAAGTTGTCCAAAAAGAAAAGGGAAAGAGGTAGTCGATGCCCCATGGACCTTAGTATCATCCACTTGCTTACATGGTCAGGTAGCTACTGTGGGCTGCCAAAGAGGCTCATCTTCATGACAAAAAGTTTTTCAGATGGCATGCGGGAGACCAATAAATCCATACTAGTCTCTTCACAATTTTTTCCCAATATTTTAATAGCAGGAGTCAATCAAATCCTGAACTCTCATTTATTTGAGAAATCCCTGTTTGTAAGTTCCGACAAATGACTAACTTTTGTCATATTTACATACAAGTGTTGTGGAAATCTCAAGTATTTGTTTGTGCACTTGTTGAATGAAGGTCTCTTAAGAGCATTAAGAAAGGAGCAGTTCGAGAGGCTCAGGGAAACTTTTGGAGTTGGTGCTAATATTAAATGCTCTGGCTTTTGTTCATCTGAGCATGGAAGAAAACCACGAAATACACAGACAGTAAAGATGAGAAAGTATATTATTATCTATATCGGTATATTACCAAATCAGGAAACATGTACAAATTTGGTGAATTTTGGAATTGGTGCCAATTGATGTGCTCCGGCTTTTGTTTATCTGAGCCTTGAAAAGAAACCACCACGTAGACAAAAAGTAAAGAGAAATTGTATATAAATATTATATATATATATATATATAATCACATACACAATTTTGTTCAATAAATTCTTTTCGTGATCCAAGATATGAAGAGAAAAGGCGAATGTCAGACTCGTGTACTGTATAAATGGTAATAGATCAAGCCCGGGACCCAAAGGCTAAAAAAACACAATACAACCTAAACCCACAAACAAGGGAAAGACCCCAAGGATCAATCTCTAGGATATAGAGAATCCGGAGTATCTAGAGAACCAAGTTGGGCGAGACATGTGTGACCAAGTATTAATTCGAGTACTTTATCATAAATCAGCTGGTCAAAGACAGATTTCCTACTTTGCAGAAGACTCACCTTTTATGAAACAGTTGCTACATGAAGTTCGTTGGGATCATGCCAAAATAGTTCCAACCCCATTAGCCCTCTACTTTCTTACTGCGAAGGCACGTACAGAGAGATAGCACAATAGTGTATCTATGACACATCTCAATTTGTATTTTCCCTTGTTCGGCTTTATGGGTCTTCGATTCAGGTTTTATGTCCACACTGCCCCAAATGATAAGATTAATAACTAGATAATAAATTAATCGACATGATGAAGGATGAAGAGAGAGAACGTTTCAATGTGCCCAATTATGTAACATACAGGGAGAAAAATGAAACTCGATCGTAACACAGACTGTAAGAACGTGATCTATTCTACTTCAAGTCATCTGTCCATTGTGAATTCAAGTTTTACACATGATTCAGGCTACCATTCCCCACTTTGTTTATGAAAGTTTTTGCGTTTTCCGTCAGTCCGAAACCAGGAAGCACAAAAAATGACAAGAAATGGCACGAGAGTTTCATAATGGCATACACTTCTGCATGGATGAACGGTTTGTCAGGTTTTCTGGCTCGTTCGGTCTGTGCAGGAATCCCAGAAAATGTTGATACAAGAAAAGACACACAGTGGACAAAACTCTTGAACATCTCGATGATCAGAATTACAAATTCGCTGTTGGGGAGCCATGCCGATCAAAATGGTGAAGTTTAAGGGCGTAAACGCAAACATAAGTCATCGGTGTCAAAGTCATAGTCATGTGTGGCATATCAGAGCTCTCTAATCAATTTTCTTCATACTTTCCCGACAAAGAGTAGTACCAACCCTCTCGGCTCAAATGAGAGGTCTTGCTTGGCAACAATTATCCTCTCCCACTTCAGTACAGTTCCTACACAACTGACACTAATAATGAGCTTCTTCTTGCATCTTTCATGCTCGATTTTACCTCCTGATAGCTTCTTGGAAACATATATACAGCCCTAGTTACATAGTTACACATCTTCCTCGTCCATAAGAAAGCCACCTTCCGAATGGAGACGGCGAAGAAAATGCCTCGCTTTGGGGAGACTAACACTGAGTCGAGATTGCTCAAACATCGAAGGTAGCTGACAACATGTCCATACTTTACAAACCCTTCAGAGCCTCAACTGGGGCTATCTACCTCCAGTAAGTGGAATCCGATTAACAGCTTTCCGCAAAATCTGTCCAAAGGTTCCATTGTGGTCCTGATTCACGGCAGAATACATACGTACAAAATGTAGGCAGATACTTATGGCTAGAGTTTAGATGTGACGGCGAGGTGCAGACCCGAAGTGGACTGAGATCCCTGCTTCGTTAGAACGACGTCCTTCGCCGTCTCATCCGCAACAGGTGTACTCGGTGGCAAATCTATAGCCGGTGAGCAGTTGAAGAATCCATGAGGCTGCACGAAGGGCGATGAAATTTTAAGTACACATGAAGTGGCACCACAACTCCTCAAATGAATGGTTACTGACTGAGCTCGACTTGCTGAGGTTCAAGACAAACTTAGAGAGAAGTAAAATGTATGAGCATCCCATATCGCTTGGCATATCGCTTGACCCAAAACCTTAGATGGAATAATGAGGAAGCAAGGAAGGTGATGAACTCTCGCGCGAGCACTCACCACAAGAGTGAATCCAATATGTTCCACTGGCATGACCGGCCAGTCTTCCAAGCGAGGAATGTGGGTTGTTCCAAATATGTACCTACACGTCGAGAGTAAAGCATGAGCCATAGCACGTGAGACAACTAATTCTAAAAGGGGAAACTGCAGTTGCCAAAACATGAATTCAGTATTGAAAGTCTGAAGGGTACTTACCAAAGCACAACATCGGCTTCCTCTAGTCTTCTATCCATTTTCGTCCAAGTCGGGAGGCCTTCCCCAATCCGTGGATTTTGATTGGGAAACTCCCCACCGGGATACAGCTCGTTCTTATTATACTGAGTTACCCAAAAGTTGTGCTTCAAAAACGCAGCACGTCTTAGATACATGGCATCGGGCCCAGCAAACGGAAGACAGTTGGAGCCAGGAACAAGCTTATAGCCGACCAGCTGTCCCGTTCTGTTGACCACTCGTGTATTACGAACCTGAACAGAATTTGAGCAGATGCAACCAACAAGAGTCGATTCAGCACAAGCTTCAAACTGAGAGTAGGAACGAAATTGTGAGCAATTAAATTAACAACGATATTCTACTTGAAGGGCACGCCTTTTCACAAGTTGTTAATAAATCCTAGAGACAGATATTCAGTTTGTAATCCACACAGGGTCATTTCTACCATCCCACTCTCCAGTCTATTTCCCCGAAACGGGTGACAGTACAATAAGAAGGACAAACTTACAATCCAGTGACGCGCTGTCAAAGCATTGCAATCACGCTGAGCCTGCATTTCTGAACGCAGCAAAGTCTCCTCCGCATAGAACGCATTGTTGTGGGCATTATCGGGTCCGGGATCCTCTACTTTGACATTCACCTCAACCACCTGTCGGAAAACATCTCAATGTTTAGCTTAACATACAAACTGCATTGGAGTGTATCCACAAGATGTCTATGACGATACCTATCGTAGCCACTACTATCAGCTGCGTCTTTCTCGATCGGATTGTACATCCCAAGAGTAAGAAAGATTAGGCGTATTTTTAAATTATAAAAACATACTTCAGAAAAAAATTCTTTCATGATCGATCTCCTCTTGACGATGTTTACCTGATTGGTAGGCTCTCCGGGCTTGCTATCAATAGCCATGTCCATTCTTGCGACGAAGAAATGCTGGTGGGTGGGAGCATAAAGGCCGGGGGCTATGACAGTGCCGTATTTACGAGATTCACCAGCCTTTAGAGCTCCCAGACTAAGAATTCCTGTGAGTTTCACTTCGGCCTCAATCTTGCCATCCTGTACATTGATCGACAGAACTTGTTAATATATCACACGTTGCGGTGACTCTTATTTAGACTGATCAAAAAATGTCCGATTGAGAAGACATGAAACCCCTTCCTAAAATCTAGGACTCCGAAGTGTAAGTATCCGTCTTCTCTTTTTCTTCCAAAGGGTCAAGTTGAGTGAGATGTCTCACTCAATAGAAGGAAAAGTTACAAAATTTACCTGGTAGAAGTGCCAAAAAAATCCGTACTCATAATTCGCAACCGTGCAGAAGAAAGAAAGAGTGAGACGCCTTGAACGGCGCACTTCAGTTAATCCAGTTCTCCAATCTTGATGTTTCCAGAGAATTCCATGATCCTCCTCGTGCATGCAGACACAGTTCTCAATCGTTTCTACTCCACCGAGAAAACTAGTGAAGTGTGCATCAAAATATTTTATGTATCCAAGACAGTCGCATCCCTGCATATGATATCCAAGATGATAAGTAAGCATCGACCTTAACCGACGGTGTAAAAAGAAGGATCAGAGTGATAATCACACATGACTTGCAGAAATAGTGTGTAAAAGGCAGCAACCTTCAGCGCCGCCTACAGGGGTATGGATGTGAGACCAGGGATGATGACTGACCCTTTTTAAAGAATGGGCGTTCTTTCCAAGCCCGTCCTCGCCGGCATCGAATGCATTTTTTTGGTAATGAGGATCATGAGGATCCCCGTAAGGAACCACCATTTCAACAAAGCTCAATCTATGTGCTACAGATCGACGGCCCCTGCTGCCATCATGGTATGCAACAGTGTGGATGACCAGTCCTTCCCTCGGGGTGAAGCCAACTCGGAAATTCCACTGCCATACAGTACACGTGAGACAAACATTACGAAGATGTCATCGGGGTGGTGAACTTGGTCGGTGAACTTTATGGACTTGAATACAATGAATCTCTATCGTTTACTCTGAAGCTACCGTTACCGTTACCGGAAGACTGCGATGAAGCATCAATCATTCTCTCATCGATTGAAATCAGATAACCGATTTGGATAGACTGGACGTATGCAAACGTGACCAATTCTAGAGTCTATAATTCCACTCGATGTCCTTCATCCGTACGACATCCTTACGAGAAAGAGCTATTTTGTTTGGGCAGCAAATAATAAAATAATGACCGAGTGCCGGGACAAATTTGACAGGGTACCAACCTTTTGCCACTCAACAGCATACCCATTGACACGGAAACTCGGCCCTTCTGGTTGACTGATGACCAGAGGCTTGATGTCAGCTCTGTCCACTCCCCCTCGGGTAGCCGCACACGTGTAATTACGAAGAGGGTCAGGGGGTGGAAGCGGAACGAATTCCCTGTCCTCAAATTCCAAGACCTCCATGTTTCTTACATCGACCAGTACTCGGACTCCTTCGACTGGTCTTGCATATCCATTCTCCATGGGACAATCGCTCTCGGTTCTGCAAAAGAACAAGGGTCTCGCGAGTCTTCTGCTCGGAGAATCCTCTTCGCCGTAGTATCCCACGCACCTGCAATACAGAGATGAATTACTCAACTGGAGATCCTCGAGCGACCCACTTCGCTTGGACTGCATCGTTAAGACGACTCGATGGTGTTTACTACGTTTTGCGTCTTAAAAGCCATGCAGAATGTGGATCGCTGTGAGAAATTGAGGAAATTTCAGGACTGATCATTAATCATGAGATCTTCCAATTGAAGGAGCGTGCATCTCCCTAGAGGAAAACTCGGAAGCCAAATTTGCAATGTGTGCGAACGGGATGCAGTTCCAGCTTGTCGATTAGAAGGACCAGTATCGTCTAGAGACAATTCTAATGCTGGAAGGACATAATGTCAACCATCTGAATGAAAGGAAGATGATGCAATGGACGATAACAGCAATGTCATACAATAGACTCGACAATCTCTAGCGTACCAGGGATCCACCATCACGAGATCCATGTCCTCTATTCCTCTCTTCCTCATTGCTTCAACAAAAGGGCCGTAGCTTTTGACGACAGCTTCACATTGAGCATACTCCTCTGCATCCTGCAACCAACCGACGATGAAATTCCAATCAGAACATTACGATCGACCATCGGACACGTCCTTAAGAAGAAGGCCAATATTGATCATATTGATGATGATGAAGTCCTACATTAGCTTGAAGTGATTGCAGACTTGACAGTGCAGTGTACCATGGGAGGCTGAACATCAGGTATGACATTGCGGGATAGAACTTTTCCACGATGATGACCTCCTCGAGCGGCGGCGTGAACTTGAGTCAACTCCACCAACCACACACTCGTCTCATTCGTATTCTTGTTGTAAACTACCAGTTTTGCCTGACGTGGGGGAAGCTGCAGTGGAACTATGGCTCCGCCTTTCCCCTTGGAAAAAATGACTGTCGGCTGATAAGGTGGGAAGAAAAATGCATCCGCCAGGGCGATCACGTTTTTCTCGGGTTCTTGCAACACCACCTCAAAGAAACGCATCCCATCCCGCAGCTGCATGCAAATTCCACCGTCAACATCCACAGATACGGTTCCAAAAGGAAGTCAACATTCTCAGTCAGCGAAGAAATCGAATTCCTCACAAACGACGTACCTCGGGCGTAGCTCCTGCTGCCCTGACCGTGGCCACGGCCACCGCGATTTCCGTTGGACTCAAGGGATCTAAAGGATGAACAGATTGCGACCTGACGGATGGTCCAGAACCTGGCACAACACAATTGCCACGCACATTAAATACTCGATGCTAGAACTGGATTCGGAATGAATTACCACCGTGCATTGTCGACTTCAGATGAGTCAACCAAGCAAGGCGCAAGCAGTCAGCACCACCGAAGGCACAAATTGAAGGCGCTCTATGAAACCACCGCGAATTCATCCAACTTCAAGCAAAATTTCATACAGATTTGTCGACAAGACATGGGATATTCTGTCTACGGGCATAGTTCACGATAACATCATTCGAGCGGGCAGCATGGCGTCAGGGAGACATGCAAAAGGTAGGAGGAAGAGAACCATGCAGCCGCAAAGTCGAATTCTCAATTCTAGATACTTTGAGTTCAGGAAAAGCTTTTCCACCTCGAGATGCATTGCTGATATCGTCAGAACTAGTCAGTCCCCTCGCAATTGCGCCAACAGATTCATTGCAGGCACTAGTTCCAACAAGACAAGCATCTAAATTTCATTCTCAAGATTCTGATACTTTACAGTGTCTAAGAAGTCTAGCTGGGCCGAATGCAGCAACAAGTGGATGGGCTGAGCATAGATTTCTGGATTTCTCTACCACATCATCAGATGCCAGAAAGAGAGGCACTGCCATGGTTGTGCAACTCCAAGTTGCTCAGCATGGAGTTAGACCAGGAACTGGCTGGTGGACATCATCCTGCTGGATTTCCTACATAAAGCTGATCCTTTCATACTTCAGGATGCGAGACAGCCTCCGTTACCAGAAACGCAATCGCGTTCAATCCTTTGGCTCCTAATTCGAAATTCTGATTCTGTTCATGTGATCGGAATGGAGCAAACGGCAAAGAAAAAGCGCATATCTGGGGGAATAAAGTGGACGATACCTTTCAGTGAGCTGCTTGCGACGCTGGCAGTGACCGCTTCCACTGAGGGTGCTGCAGATGTAGGACTTAGGTCAATTGAGGTGTCCAATTGCTCTGTCTTGGATAAATCCGAGTTTGTTTCATCTCTCTTGGCATCTTTCATCCGGAGCTTTCCAGCATCCACACTGCGATCCTGATTAGAGGGGGCCGACTGGCAGCAAAACGCCTGCGAGTTCGAACGTGTGGCCATTGACAAGGATTTGCTATGTCTCCGATTCCCCTCCACGCTTTCCCTATTCCCCCTCTATCAGACATACAGCACAATGCTTCTCTGCCTTCTCTAATTACCTCCGTGAATGACACAGGAGATCCCCCGACTGAGAAATGCAATTGAATGTCGACCCTAGAGGACTGATGAGATGAGTCGGGGCTGGATTGGAATGCGCGAGCTCCCACGGGGCGAATTTGATCCTTACGATTTTGACGACTGACTGGGGGCTCTTACAAAATTTATAAGAGGGCTCGCAGCCCCGCAAATCCGTCTTGTACTTCAGAGACAGATAATTATCATACTCTACGGAAGAAAAGAAGCCAATTTTACCAGCTGAAGAACCAAGCGGGAATTTCACTCGGCGCCAAGTAATTCGCTCACTCGAAAACTACTGCAGCAGCTGCGAATTGCGCAGCAGCACACAGGCGGCTTGACTTAAGCGGAGGAGCTACAAATCTGCACAATTGGAGGATTCTGACAAGGATTCAATTCGCGGCCGACTAGTACTCGTCTCGAAATTAGGACTCTGCGACACAAAAGGAAGGAAGGAAGGCAAGAAAGAAAGCGCGAGTGGGACAATATTATGAAAATTGCAAAAGGTTGCGCTCTGTAAGAAATTGGCCCAAGCCCAGCCCCTCCCGACGCCCCGGTTGCACAAGACAACAGGCGGACAGGCTGACTCTGTGTGCCCCAGTGGTCCACGACGTAGACCCCAGTCGAATCCCTCTCCACTCGCCGATCCTCTCCTCTCCTCTCCTCTCCGCTCCAACAACAGAGACGTGACGCGATTGACTCTAGTGCAAATCTCAATCTTGGTGTCGACTCTTCCTCCCTTCCCTCCCTTCCCCTCCCCTCCCCTTCCCTTCCCCTTCCTCTGCTTACCTGGTCGCCCACTCTCGTGCTGCTCCCTCTAGTTCTCCCTCCCGTTGCCTTCCGGCGCTGGCTTGTTCTCTTCCGTTGTCTCTGTCACGCTCCTGTCCTCTTTGTGCGTGCACTCCTGCCGCTGCTCATACCCGCCGTCCGTCCGCGCAGGGTACAGTCCCAGTACCGTACTGTACCTCTGACCGGGACCGGGGTCGGGCCGGTCTGGGTTGGGTTGCGCTGGGCTGACTGGCTGGCTCGCTGGCTATATACCTTCACTTGAAGGCTCGGGGCCAACTATCACAAGTTGGTAGGGAGCTTTTATCCAGCCCTGTACCAAAGTTCAATTCCGTCTTTTATCGCCCTCTCCTTTTTGTCTCCTCCAGGTGCATGAATCCTGCGAGAATGAGCTCCGGCTAAAGTTGATTTGCTTGGGACGGAGAGCGAGTAGAGCCTGGGGTGATTGGGGTCAAATCACTTCCTGCACACCTTCGCTCCGCCTGCCTGCGCTCTGGACTGGTCAAGCCACCGCATGGGGTGGAATGAGCGGGCAAATCTCCACGGGGCGGGCACCCAAAAATACAACTCTAGCCAGGTGACAACTAGAATTTGGTAGAGCACACACTGGATATTGCGTACTACTTTATGTTGTTGACATCCTTTGCGCATGTGTGAGTAAGTTCCTTTTTCCGGTAAACGTTGCCGCTTCTTTTACTTTCTCGCAAAAGAAACATCAACATTGCTGGAAGAGCTCGGTCGAGTTCCAGACGGTGCTCATGCAACATCAGTACTTTATTCCGTTCGGTTTCCTCCATGTAGGACTCGATGGGCTCTTCCCATCCTTTTGGTTCTTCTGCTGTGTGGGACACTTTACATCTTTTGACCTTATTCTACGCGGCTGTAAAGAAATGGGGCTACTGGAAAATCACATCTACACTACACGGTTGTAAAGTCAGGTGACCGATTTTGTACCAGCATAGGTGTAAGTGTGCTGACGTCAGCTGAGCTCTTCCTGCATCTGGGGTAAGAGTTACATGGGCCCCGTAAGGGTGGTGAAAAAATATGACACGACCTGTTGTCACTGCTGCAACCACTTGGTAAAGCATGCGCTTCGGAATATTCTACTCTAACAGATTTTTATTTTTCACTTCCACTTCTGCTTTAGCTTGAGTTTCTGACCAATGCGAATTTCTAGAAGATGGATCGAGAATTCAAAATTACATTTGTATTAAAGTAGGTACCTCCAGTTACAACCTCTTCTGATCCTTGTCGTGGTTTCTGCCATCCCGGTTTCATTCCATGTCCCCTCCTATTTCTGTTACCCAAAGTAGAGCTAGTCACAGCTTTTCTATTACCATCATTTCTGCCCATGATGAATTCTTACCTTTGTGTACATTCCTACTGTCTGGAGAGGATGACGTAGTCATAATATTGTCAAAAGGGCAAATGGATCAAAGTAGCGAGTAATACATCAGAAAAGAGCTAGGGAAATTGTCAAAAAGGAAAATCTCACAAAACTGTTTTTACTTTTTAGAAGCCACGAGTATAATCATAGCACAAGGTCACACATGTGACATGTGCCACCCCAGTTTCTAGGCTCGTGCATGGACATGCCTCTAAGCGAGCTCATGATGAGCTTCGTATCCTTCTTCGGTATTTGCATGTCCGCGTTTCCTTGGAGTCGTTTCCATTATGTCAGAAGGAGTATTCGGTCTACTCAAACTATGACACAATTCAATGGATCATAAGTCACTGCTGCCCCAAATATCCGGGCTTCATTCAGTTATTCACCTTCAGATGCTCTTGAGTACATACCCAATATCTGAGTACGAGATACACCAACTTCTTAAAACTCTTTTCTTTAAAATATATCATAGTACCTATCTTATACTCATGGAGAAAAACTGAACGTCATGATAGTGCTAATTTTTTTATATTCCCATGATCATCTTTTGTGATATATTACAATTATATCAATATTTTGAAAGATGTTAACTTCGCATTGATTTTCAAACAAGCATTGTAGATTCCAAACATACCGAAGAAAACACCCAAGCTCTTGTTGGTATGCAACTGCCTCTAGTGAAGCTGCTAGTGAATTTTCCTTACATTCAATACTTGGCTATTTACTTATTTATTTATTTATTTATAGCAACATAAATATATTATACTTGAAGGATACTTTTCATACTAATTACTTTGTTTTGAAATTTTTTGAAAAAAATTATACACATTGAAGCATTGGATTGATAAACAAGTCATTTTTATTTCATATCGACTAGATTTAATGATTCAAAATTAAGAAAATTGTTTTCAATTCTATAAAAATTAGAAACAATCTGAATACGTTAAAAAGTAAATTATTTTTGATCTATTAATACTATTATAATAAATATTGAAAATCATTTTTTTCAAAATTTCCAAAAAATTAGAGTATGTTCTTATCACTAATAACATTCTTTGAAAAAATCATAAAATCTGTATATATCTCATCAAAAAAGAAAAAACATTATATCATATTGATTATAATTTTTTGATGAGTTTAATTCAAAAATTCAAATTTCTTTGTAAAATATATTCTTTACTTTAGCATTTAAAACTATACAGTAGAAAAATTTCTTCCAAATGATTAACATATGTGATAACTCATGGATACAAAATATAATGATGGTGCTATTGAATGCAAGTGTAGTTACAATGTATTTTGTTAATGCTGTCTTTATAAGAGTTCAAAAAGTATCAATATGCAAATTTCCAACAGTTATATATATTTTTATTAACTTAAAAAAAATCATAATAAATATGTTTTTTTAGCTTTAGAGGGTAATATTTTTATGTTCGTAGTTCCTTGATCAATCATTGATTTATTTTTTTGAAAGTACAGGATAAGTGGTTGAAGATTTTGTGGTTGAAGACTTGAAGACAATTTTATTTTCATGGTTTTTATAAAACTTCTTTCACGTGTTATTGAGTGCTCCGCGACGGCACGTAGGTTGATTCAAAGAACGGTTGGAGGGGAATCCCTCAGCAGGTGCTACCAAACCACGACGAGGAGCAACACGAAATATCAGAGCGCTAGGAGGATAGGAAGAGTGGGTATTGAAGGAGCCCAGAAGTCACCCACTTTAATGCCCTTGATCATTTTTTGTACCTCTCTTGAAACAAAATGATATCAAGTTTTTTGAAAATGAGATATTTACCTTTTTAAATTTTTAATAATTTTTTTGTCTCATTTACTTCACAAACACTTCTAGCAAAATGATGCTAAATCATTTCCGCCTATTTTCCCTCTCCAAACGGTCGCCCCTAAACATAAAAAGTATAGCGTACACGCTGCCGTGAAATAGACCTCGGCATACCAATGCATTAGCGGTGGGTTCGAAAACGTTTTTAGTGTGCGCCTAGGCAGAGCACGTTTTTATAGCCATGGTTAAAATTAGAAATTAATATAACTCCATTATCAATATGGATAAGTTTTTCCTTTTCATGAAAATCTGAAATAAAAATAAAATATTCATATATGTTTAATAAATCATAGCTTGTTATCAATATATCTAGTTGTAGTTTTCATAATATGTTTTCTTCAATGATGAAAAAGAAAAAAAAATATTTATAAAGAGATATTTCACTTTTGAATTATTCATATATTTATATTTAAAAATATATTCATAACTAGTAATTTACTTCAGCTACACATTCTAATATTTTTTAATTTAATGAACTATTTATTTTAAATTCCTATGATAATTAAGAAAATGAATATTTCCAAGCTTGAACATAAAGGTTTTCACAATCACTCAAGATATCAACTAGCTTTAATATGCATTCACTTATTAGTTGTTCCTCTCATATGAATAACCTATGATACACATACTTTTATTTCAAAAAATTTAAACTTAGAATATAAATCTTCATGATTTTTATTAAAAGTCTCCATCATAATAGTCTGACTGGATGATCTTGCATCGTGCCAATTGAATTATGTTTTTTTTCACATCCTGTGGCATGCTTATAAATGGTATTTATATAATTCATAGCTTCTTAATACTGTAAATCAAAATCTCTCAGACTCAACACTTTATTATTTAATATATGATTTCATGTTTAATAGTCGTAAGAAAGATCAATTTATTTTTACTATTTTTTTTATTTAGAAGCTCACTATATATTATGTTATATTCAACATGTTTTAAACTTTGTACTTCATTTCCAATCCTCATGAGTAAACATAAATGTAGATTTTCATTAGGAAAAATATTTCTATTTTTTAGAATTTTATATGAAGACTGGGAATATTTTTGTTATCAAATTTTATTTTCTTAGATTAGTACATTAGGTGTAGTACTGTGCATAAATTTTCCATTAAAAGTAAATTAAGTGTTTTACACATCTTTGAATCATGACTTCTGAAGTACTTCAATTATTTTTCATAATTCACATCGGATATGATGTTAGCATTAACAACACAATATATTTTATCAATCGATTGCTCTTATACAAAAAATAATTTTTACATTTGTTTTTATATTTTTACAAATAATACATATATATTTACACTGGTTCTTGAAAAAATTCAAGGCAGAAATTAGTTTTGATTTTGATATTTTTGTTGCATTCTCTTCAAAGAGATTTTTTAATAGTGAATCTTGAACGAATTATCTAGGGAACAAAACAAACATGTCTTGCCCTTTCTTCTCAAATTCGTAACAATAATTTGAGGTTTTCTAATTATTTTTATACAGAAAGCTAGCATTTTAAGTGTTTACTTTCAAGTAGATCAACTTTAAGTATTTTTTTGACTCTGAAAGTTTTTTTTTACATATCTAGATAATCTGAAAAAATGACATCAGATGAGAACGTTAGTGGGAATGAATGTCCAGCAGACAGTAGTAATGTTCACATAGTCCAGTAACATCACGAAGGGAGACGAAGTTCACGGATGTGGATTAATTTCCAAAACATAAGATTTCTTGTCTGGTTTTTGGCACTCTCGAGGTGATATGTCTTCCAGCGTACCTTATCATTTCTAGTCCTGCATGTCGGTATGTGATGATCTATCAATATGATAACGATTTTCTCACACTGTTATAAAACACCTGACATATAATGAAAGTGGTTTCCCTGGAAAATCATCAAGTATGAATTGGTGTTTAGTCAGATATATTTTATCCGATTTTAAATAATCAGGTCATTGGAGTTAATTCTAGAAACCAAAGTTACGAATTCTAGAGGA